TGGTTTGGGCACGTTCTCCGTCCGCCCCACAACCTTAGCTATGCTGCTCTCGATCCGGCGCCGAGGCCCACCTGGAGGCGTCGATGAGGAGGGCAAGTGAAGACACCGTCCGTCAAGACATGGAGGCAGGGAGGGCAACGGAAGACTTGGCTCGACACCGTCCGTCAAGACATGGAAGCACACCTTGGACCTTCTATATTCGGTCTCCGTCGCTGGAGAAGAGACTGGGTGGAGCTCGACACCGTCCGTCAAGACATGGAAGCCGTTCTTTGACCTTCTATATTCGGTCTCCGTCGCTAGAGAAGAGACTGGGTGGGGCTGGACACCGTCCATCAAGACATGGAAGCAGTTCTTGGACCTTCTTTATTCGGTCTCCGTCCCTGGAGAAGAGACTGGGTGGAGCTCTCTAGATCCGCTGCTGCTAATCGTCACGCATAGAGAGGTACCGATATTAGCATCATTGAGGCCGGCCAGATCAGGTATGATCACAGCCGTAAGTAGTACAAGTAAGTAAGTAAGTATATCTGAATCATGCTGTAGGATAATTACTATTGCATCCCTAATTAAGTAACCTTTTGAAACCAAAATACATTTGAGTGTTTCGGTGTACATTTTCTGAGAAAGCAGTTACATCGAAACACCCGTTTGTAATCCTGCATTCGATTCAGGCAACAATCATATGCACCTCGGAAGTAATATGAGCTTATACTCTGTTAAAATATTGGTTTTGCTGAGTGGGGCAAATACCATAATGCCTGCGGCCGTAAGTTTGCGTGGCGTCTGTAACCCCGCCGGTTTAAATCATCTTTCTTAAATCACGTTCATGTGTCACACTGGGATTACTTCCTCCAGTCTCCAGTTTTACCATGCTGCGTGTCGGATAAGCCTGTACTTAACCGCGTTCTCCTTTCTACTACTGCTCAGCTACGCCATTTATCATTGCCTTCAATCGGATTACAAACCGCCACTGTCGACGGCCTCACTAGCATTCACTTCGAATGCTAAACACGACCTGTCCGGAACCGACCAGTGGATCCTCTCCTGTCTGGCACACGCCGTCCAGGAGTGCAATACTGGTTTCAAGGAGTACCTGTTCCCTCGTGCTACAACCGCCTGTTTCAACTTCTGGCTCTACGAGTTTTGCGACGTCTATCTGGCAAGTTGTATCACTTAAAAAAACA